TCACAATTCTGAATTTTATTTGGAGAGGAATACAGAATTGTTTTAAATTATACCTTTTCCCTTTGGTTTTAAAGACATACTTGAAAATTTATGAAATAACAGAATAAGCATTTCCCTTCAAAAAATTAAAAGTTAAAAATCAAATGAAATCACCCTAGTAGAAATGACTATAGTCTGACACTCAGTCACTCTTTACAGGGAAGACAGATACTCACATTTTACCTATTTACTGTCTGGCATAAAATGTTTCTAACCTATCAGACAGGAAATCCAGCCCAAGTGATTTTTCGGTGGAGGAGAAGCTGTTCTGAACATTAGTAAGGGTTGGAAGAGACATTTTTGGTGATGGTGATAATTAGGGAGAGCTGCTATTGGCATTTGTGGACATAGCCAAGGAAACAAGACATCCTCAAAGAAATCAACAGTCATATACAAACAAGAATCACTTTAAGAAATATTCATGAACACAGAAAACCTATTTTATTGTCATCTGAGTCTAGAACGTAACTTCATTAAGCTATGCAAAGTACCTGTGATAGTTTCAATATAAAAACCAAATTTCCCAGGGAAAGACTGAGGGAAGATTTTTACTGTTTTGTTCACGGTATTCAAAAAAGTGGTCCCAGTGGCTCAAACCAGTAACCTTAGCTACTCTGGAGGCTGAAGTCAGGAGGGTCATGGTTCAAGGCCAGCCCAGGGAAACAGTTCATGAGACACCATCTCCAAAAATAACCAAGGCAAAATGGACTGGAGGTCCAAGCTCAAGCGTTAGAGCACCTGCTTTGGAAACACAAAGCCCTGAGTTCAAACCCCAGTCTCACCAAAAAAAAAAAAAAAAAAAAGTGGAGAGACTATCACTCCATCAACAGAAATGCCACTCATGGTCTCTGAGTGGCCAGTACCCTTGTTTCCATTTGCTAATGATTTTCCACACAAGTGACAAGCACCTGCCTACTTCCTGTTTTCCAGCACATTCATGCTCAAGCATTTGCATACTGAAGCACATATTACATTATAATCATGGTCTTTTTATTATTGTCTTATATTATATTTCAGAATGGCACTGTGCTTGAGCAATAATGTGATATTTCCAAAACAATCAATACTGAACTTGACAAACCTAAGACTTAAAAATTAGGGGTGGGTTTATAGGATAACCTTAAGTTGATAAGATACTAACCCAAAGCTTCTCCATTTGGCCTCTCTTACTAGTGGTATACATTATTACCTGGGTAGAGAAGTGAAATTGGAAAAAAAAAAAATACAGGTAAAAAATAAAATAAAAATCTAAAGGCCATAAATCAGAAGCTCATAAAATATGTGTATTTCCCTCTTGTACTAGAATATAGTTTACATGTAAAGCTATAATAACATTTTCTACATTTCTTTGCTGCCTCTGTGATACCAAGAAATTCTGAAGTTCTCAGGACCAGACTGGGCTCGGTAGAATGTGTCCTGTCAACAGTGATCAAACAACAACTGAATTTGAAGGAAAGAAACACAAGAACAGCAACAAAAAGAGAAGTCTAATCTGATTACTGTAAACACTGAAATACTTTTTGATAAGTCTAACGCTATCTCTATTTCTAAAAAAAACTCCAACTATGCTCTTTCCTGCTGTATGCCTTCCCTCCTTTATACATAAATTCTAATCCTCCAATAGTGTTCAAAGATTCTCCTCAATAAAGCCTCTGATGACTTGCAGATTAGATCAAGTGTAAACCTCCTTTGCAGCCTCAGTACAACTAACATTAGATAATTATTAGTGTATTTACTGTTCAAAGTTGGATTTTCATACAGATGTCAATATAAGGGCAAAACTCCTTTCTCTTTCCTCATTATTTCAAGTGGTGGACACTTGCCTAGCATGTGCAATGCCCCATGCTCAATTCTCAACACCAACACACACAAAAAAGGTGGTCTGATAATTTATTATGAACTTTTACCAAATTTAACTTTATTCTAGACACTAATTTCTTATTCTATCAAAATATGTCTTTAGGTAGGGACTGCATTTTGATGAGTACCAAAATGTTAAACAATACAAAAACCTAACATAGCGAAGTGAACCATTAATGAAATGACTAAGTAAGAGCTCTCTGGCTACTAAAACATACCCAGTAAGAGTTCTTATTTAACTCCAGATCATTTACTTTAATATATAACCATGACAAAACTGCTTTACTTTTGTTGTGAAGTAGTTTTTTTTTTTCTCCCTTTAGCAGTACTGGGGTTTGAACTCAGGGGCTTGCACTTGCTAGGCAGACGCTCTACCATTTGAGCCATTCCTTACCCCTTTTTGCTTTAAGGTCTCACACTTTCACAAGGGACTGATCTTGGACTGCAATCCTCCTACCTTATAGCTGAGTTTATAGAATTCCAACCCCATGCCTAGCTTGTTTGTTGAGATGGGGTCTTGTTAACTTTTTGCCCAGGGCTAACACAGAACTACAATCCTCCTGATCTTAAAGTACTTTTTAAAGTTAGTAGTCTTCTTTATCCTGAAACTGACACCTCAAACATCAATCTCTAGACATTAAAAATAGACAATTTTATATGGAGTTATATCACACATATAAAATTAAGTTAATTAAATGAAAATGAACTGAGCTATATATTATCTGGTTAGGAAAGAAATTACTTTTAACTAAGCTCAACCTTGTGTAAAGTATTTTCATAAGGGAAAAGAACATACTTGCCCACAGTTATGTGAAAATTCCCTGCCACTTTATTAACATACAGATGGCCATGGATTCTGCACGCATCTGGAGACTGCGATGAGTCATCTTCCCTATTAAAACAAGGTATATTAAGATCACTTCAGACACATTCAATACAGTTACCATTTTGTGATGTGAAAACTATGCATAGGGAAAACAAAGTCCCTAAAGATACATTTTCAGGCAATGTGCTAAATTGTCAAAAACAGAACAGCAATTTCCTAACTCTACATAGTTATAAATATCATGTATCTACAGAACAGAAAAAAATTTACATAATTTACAAAACATATCTACTATATTTATACAAATCTAAAACTTATGACTCTTCAAATCTAATCAGAGGACTAAGAACAATGACAAGAAAAATTAAAATAATCAGTCCAACAAAAACATACTTTCTTCCACTATTTCTGGCACTATACAGGGAAGGGGAAAACAGGAGTAACAGTGAGGTAAGGAAAGGGCATCCTATCAAGTTCAAATGAACAATGACATTTTCTTCTGAAGCAAATGTAAAACTGCTATTTTGCTTAAATTTAAAGTATCATTTCATGATTGTAACATTTCCTAATGTCACCTACTCTAATATTAAAAAAAGAGAAATAAAAAACCCCAAAATTGGTAATTAAAACATATAAATACTCATTATAATAAATACACTGATTTGTTCTTAAAACCTAATACAATTTTATATAGTTATATCACACAAATAAAAGTAAGTTAATTAAATGAAAATGAAGTAATAAACTTGTGACAGTCCTGTTGAAAATCACAGGCTCTTCAAAGTGCCCATGACCTCTTCATAGAGAAAACTGAGTCTACTTTCAAAGAAAAATAAGATTCAGAAAATTAAATCAGTACTAAAACTACGTCAAAGAAAATTCACTAATAATAGTAATAAACTAAAAGTTCAAGTATTTGTCAAACATTTAAAATGTACACCTCACCTTGGTGGAAGTGCTGTTGATGTAGTTTTAAATGCACTTTTGAATATCACATCTTGAAGTGAATGCTCTTCTTGCAGCCTACTCTGAATCAGCTGTAGCATCCTAAATTTGACACAAATAGTAATTCAGGAAGGCATACAAAGAAGGCCAATACTTACTAAAAATAATGGGTAGCTAATTTAATTGAACCATGTAGTTATTATTATAGAATTTTATTCCGAAACAAAGTATACTCACATACTTGAAAGGAGGAAGTATCAGGTAGATTAACTAAAGGTTTAGTCTAGAAACCTGCCATATTCCATCAATAATGGACATGCAGTCAGGGTCACCGAAAGGAAAGCTTCTACTCTCCTGAGTATCTAAGTTCATCTTTTATGTACACATCACGCTTACATAATTCTTACTTTTTGTCAGGCATTCAATTAAGTGTTCTAGAGTAACTAGTAAAGAATACCTGTTTAGAAGGAGAGCAAGAAGCTTCAAGAAATCAGATCTCATCTTCAGATTTATAAGAATAAAGACTTAGAATTTGGAGGTGGCAGAGGGAGATGGAGGAGGTGATCTAACTATTGTACAATATAAGACTATTTGGAAGTGTCACAACAAATCCCCTCTGTACAATGAATATATGCTAATAAAAAATAAGTATTTTTTAAAAAGACTTAGAATCTTAACAGAAATTGAAAGCTTCACATTTTATGTATCTTGTATTTCCAAAGTTCAACTTTTGATGCTAGGCAGTGGTCAGAGTTTGATGACATGAAAGTGTGTGAGAGAGAGAGAGAGAGAGAGAGAGAGAGAGAGAGAGAGTGTGTGTGTGTGTGTGTGTGTATGAAAGTAACTTCTGTCTGGAATATATCAATCAATATCCATATCCAAGCCAAGGAATGTAGAAAATTTAAAAACATATCTGCTCTCACTTACTACTATTCTTGAATATTGAGTAAAATTCCACATAAAAGAAAACATCTCATTTTAATATTTCTGGATCACAGTATTTAATGTTTGATAGCTTTCTACTAAAGGCACTAGAAGCCCAGAAGCAATATTTATTGCTTTTGTTAATCGCATTCATTTTTAATTTTCATATTAAAATTCACCAAAATAGTGAGTTGAAATTAAAAGAGAAAGACCCTTGAAATGTACTTAGGGATTAGAAAACAAAAGGGCTAAAACATAAATTTTTGTAGTGATTTCAAATTAAATCCTCTTCAAATGCAAGCCACAGCCTGTAGCCAAAAAGAAAAGGTAAAGCAATATAAGGAGTAGAGAAGCACTTTAAAACAAAGAGTACTTTCTTAAATACACAAGCTCTTAAAAGTTAAGGAAAAAACAACCAAGCAAAATGGACATACAGCATAACCAAGGAGTTTCACAAAAAAAAAGAAATATCAATAAAGGGGGAAAACCCCACAAAGATATTCAACTAATTCATGAAGAAATGCTAATTAAAACACCAATTTTCACCATCAAATGAAAAGAAAATTTAAAGTCTGGTTATACTCATTTTTGGTAAGTTGTACAGAAACAAGTACTCTTATACAGCTTTGAGGTCTAAGTCAAGTAATATTTCAGAAGCTATATGGTACTATCAATCAAAATGTTAAATTAGGTATTTCTGAAAGAGAAACTCTATTTTAGAAACTTTCCACACACACTATAGGAAATTCCTAGAAAAACTCAACAAGAAACTTAACTCTGGTTATCACAGCTAACCAAGGGTATTGGTTTACAGGATACATAGATGGGTTTCCTTTTCCTTTACATTGTTCTATTCAAACTGAATTTCAAACAATTTTCATACATTACTTTCCTAATTAAAAAACCTTAAATAGTTAATAAAATTTTAAATAAAAACTATAATAATTCAACCAAAGAAATATGTTAATATATAAATAGTTTACAATAAACAAAACAGGATTTTTTTTCGTCAATACTGGGATTTGAACTCAGAGCCTTGTCCTTGCTTGGCAAGCACTCTACCGCTAAGCCACACACTCAGCCAATGATTTAGATGTCAATGGATGATAGCTCTGGTAACTTTTACCTCTGCCATTCTTTTTGCTGTGGTGAAAGATCAAACAGCACCTGAAATAAAAGAAAACATAATCAAGAGCACTGTCAAATTTTCTTGGTTTTCACACATCACCATTAAAATCTTTTTTCTTTGCACAAGAAATATAAACTTATAATTTATGTAAAAATAAGTATTCATGATTCACATTTAACCTTCCATAAGTCAAACCATAAAATTTTAATGTGATTTTACTCAAAAACAGCATAAAGAAATTTTACTAGCCACAAATATTATTTTCCTATTATATTTACCTACATTTAGAGGAATGGATGCAAGCTGGCCATCTATCATATGTATAAAATAGTATTTTAGGACTTAAAATCTTTTAAATGAACCTCACAATTACTGGTAGAGGTGGGGGAGAATGGGAACATAGAGTTTAAATGTAAAATTCAAGCATCTAAAGCCTTTTTTAGTGGGAAGCAGCATGAAAGAACTGTTTCCCTGGCCAAACCTGTATTTGCATGAGAAATAGGTGACCCCATGAGTGACACAGACAGTCATTGTCATAGTCCATAAAACACAACCCATACATTCTTTCTGAAAAAGAAATCTCAAAAGTCCCTCCACAAAAGTGATAAACAAAAATAAACTAAGAATAACAGAAAATAAATCCAACAGAACAAGGCTAAAAATGAGTGGCTGTTCTTACAGTAGTGGGAAATGCAGTACCAGTGTCAAGAGTCTGATAACATCCACTTAAGCATGTGGATGTAACACATGCTTAAGGCAACAAACAGCACAATATGCGATGCAGGCTTTTCCACCTAGACGGCATCTAGCTTTAAGTGCAAACTACTATGAAATCAGTCATGTTACTAGAAAACAGAGACCAGGAAGAAGGGGTTAGAGTGGCAACAACAAAATTATTTACCTGTACAAATCTCTATTTTAGAAGTGCACAGCCATGTGTATTTTGTTTGCTGTAGACTAAAATTATTCAGTAATCAAAACTAGTCAAGATACTTTTTTGTTCCTTCAACTCCACACATTCAGTTACTTCTACTCTTCCTCCACCATCTGTAGTCATCTTTCAATTTTGCTTAAAGAAGAGTTCAAAACTGTCAATGACAGTCAAAAGAACCCAAGAATGCATGTGTAAATATAATACAACTCCCACAGACAGTCAGCAACTCAAAGTAGCTGGGGGTTGCACTCATTTTTTCAAAAGCATCTTTAGAGCTAGTTCTGATTAGGACTTATTAGCACTGTTCCTGTCCCTGTAGTGTGAGGGTGTTTTCTGGAAGTCAATTATATTATGAACAACTTGTGCAATGAAGATAATAGGAGAATATTAGTACTTCATAAGCTTTTGGAAGTATAAAGGAGGAGAAAAGTAGTAAATGCTTCTGCAAGTTCCCTGTTAGATACTGTTTCAGTCTTGGTGCTCTTAAAATGTTAAGTATTTCAAATACTACAGCTCAAATAGTTTTAAAGACTTAAATTTGGTAGAAGTACCAAATCATTAGAGAAAAGTAGAAAATTTCATCACTACTGGAACTAAAAATGAGAAAAAAGAAAGTATAAGGAAGCATTAACAAAAAAACAGAAATTAAGAATAAGGTTATAAAACAGATTTTAGAGATTTATCCAAAGTGTTAACAATGGTTATCTCCAGCTTTTTATATTAGACATGACTTTTCTCCCCCAACTGCCACCTAAATTTTCCACAAAGAATATGGATTGCCTTTGAAATAAGAAAAAAACACATATGAAAAAACAACTCAGACAAAACTAACAACAAATGTCAAAACCGATTTCAAGGGTTCAAGTCCCCAAAGCACATACTTAAAAAACCATGTGAATCAAACTTACTGGTTCATAAACTAGACCATCTGCAGAAGCAACCATTGTTTCTGCTAAATCCAATACATCTGCTCCAACATCTGCATTAAAAAAAAAAATAGAAGTTTTTATAACCTACGCTCAGATCAAAACTTAATCTGAAATAAAACAAATTAAGGTGACCTAACAGATGACTAACTCACATAGTATGCAGTGTAACTTTTTAATACTGCTTATGTGTTCAAAAATTACAACAGTAGCATTATGGAGCTTTCCCAGATAGTATTCTGAAATTTAAAAACAAACAGAATCTCAAGGTAAAAACTAGAAACCTAACTGAATTAAAGAACTTTGCAAAAACTGGCAAGAACTTAATCACAAGTACTAAATGCTGCCGAACAAAAAGAAGCTACAAGAATTATTTTCAGAGATTAAAAGAAAACATAAGGCAATGCTACTGAGACTTTTAAAAACAATCAACAACAGGAAACTTCATTTTGAAAAGGCTAAAATTGTAAAGGTATCCAAACATCAAATACGACAATGTATGATGCATTCAGTTATCAACACTAGCTCAAAATTTAGAAATAAAGTATTTCCTTATCTCTTAAAACCAGTAATAGAGGAAAAATAAATTTTAAAAGAAAAGAGATTTAAGGTTGTTCTGAGATGAAATCTCCCAGAAACAAAGTAAAAACTATTTCACACTAAAAAATTTTGCCCAAAGTAATGACTTAAAGCAAGTGGTAACTTAAAAGATGTTTTTCATGTAAAGGAATTATCAATTTTGAGAGCAATGTTCATTAAATAAATATCTATCTGACATATTAGTATTTCTCTATTTCTAGCAGTATGTGCTAATGAAGCCAGCGAAGAAAGCAAAAAAGAATAACTTACCACTATTTACTTAAAAGTGTTTTAAAATTCAAGAGAAATAAAGTCATAAAGTGTGGTCAACTAAAACAGTGAAATAAGATATTTGTGGAATATGGGTATAAAAGCTGGTACTCCAAACAAGAAAGGAAAAAAACACCTAAACTACAAATCTGACAAATATTTCCTCCAATTTTTGTTTATTTTAATTACACTAATGTGAAAATTAAATCTTTCTTTATGGATAAGAAATTTAAACTAAAGTGAAACAATTTGCATTATTAAATAATACAATAAAACTTCTAAATATTATAAAAGAAAAAAAGTTAAAATATATCCAGTGGTTTTTAATTTTTATAGGCAATCATTTGAACCATAAACTACATGGAAATTCATCAAGCTGATGGTGTACTTACACTGACACTTCATGGCAACAGTAATATCTATATTGATTCTCAATTTACTAAAAGACAAAAAGGTAAAAGTTAGTACCTATCCATTAGCAAAACATGAGAAATATAAATTAACTGATCTACGAAAAACTTGGATTTCAAACAGACAAAACATGCCAATTAGAACTTGGATTATATTTCATATGGCCAAAACAAAGGCATTTTTAAAAAGTTCTACCACTTGAACCACTGCACCAGCCCTTTTGTGTTGGTGATATTTGAGATAGCGTCTTGATTTGTGCCTGGGTGGTCCTTGACTGTGATCCTCTTATTTATATTCCCCATGTAGCTGGGATGACAAGTATGAGTCACCACACCCAATGGCGTGGTGAGACTGGGTTTCATTAACTTCTATACCATCTCATTACCTCTCAGCCTGGTCTCAAACTATAATCCTCCTGATCTCTGCCTCCTGAGTAGCTAGGATTACAGGCTTGAGCCACTGTGCCCAGCCCCAATGCTTTATTTTCAAATGCTTGATTCAAATAAAATTAATTTTCAAATACCAACATTAGCCATTATAAATAGAATGGGTATAACCAATCAGTTCTGCAATTCCTATTAAAACATTTTTCAGTCTTAAGAATTTTCTTAGGAAATTATACATGTTTAGAGCTTCAGAGTCTTACAGTTGCCTAGAGCTCAAACTGCAGTCAAAATAACCCTAGAGTTCAGGAAATGCTATAGGAAGCAGAGGAAGTGGCCAGGTATAGGCTTCTGGGTGTCCCCACTATATACTTATGTGGCTAACTACCTAAGACTACATTTGGAAAAATGCAGTCTTTTATGGGTGCTAAAAACAAGTGAAATAAGAACAAGAGCAAATTTCCTGAAAAGTAATGGAATCTAGAGTAATATTTGTGTTAGTGATGAAGAAACTGAGGCCCAAAAGAAGCCAGTTGTTTAAAGCTCGCAGGACTTTACAAATGTCTATTTAAGTCCATAAACTTCATTAGAAAGATACTATAATTGTTATTTCCATTTTACAGAACAGACGATTGAAACACACACAGAGGCAAACTTAGTAACTTTCCTTAAGCCATGTAGCTAGCAAATGGTGGACTGGGATTTGAACTCAGAAATAAAAGTGTCTCCCTATGTATAGCAATCTTAACATTACAAGCAATCTTAATATCTGCAACCCACTACAAAAAATTAAAAAAACAAACAAAAATGAATAAATGTAAAGTACATTGTTTCCTAATACAGATTATCAAAATTTTAAGTGAACCTACATAGATAAAAATTAGCTTAGCTTAGATATAATTTATGAAAACCAACTAAGTGTACACAATTTATCTTTAGACCATTTACTTTCTAGCTCACACAGATCAGTAAGATATTTCAAAATCTAAATAAACAATTCCAAACAATTACCACTATATCCACAATTAAGGAAATCATGTTCTGATTTTTTAAAACAAGTACATAGTAAATCTGAAAAACTGTTTTAGAATTTAACTAGTAAATGAATCTAAAATGTTTAACCTAATATATACAATTAAAGAGAATTTTTCAGCATTATTTCTTCAGAACTAAAACCAGTATCTTAAATATACTATTTTTAAAACAACTTGACTCTAAAGGGATTTCAAGAAAAAAGTAGTTACCTAGAAAAATCTTTGTCTACTTCATATTCATACTTCATCCATGTATCTTGATATACTGAGAATTCCATTATTGTTAATAAAGCCATAGTTGTAAATGCTATTAAAGAAACTGAGAAATTCAACAAAAAATAGAAAATTAAAAAAGTAAACTGCTATTTTTAAGTGAGATTAAAATGAGCAAAAAAAGTGTCTAATATAATTTGGATAGCTACTATAAAGGGTTTCTCTTCAAAATGTTTATTATAGGTTTGTTCTAGAATAGCTCAAAAATGAAAATTTACTAAAATAAACACAAACATTTATATACTGAGTAATTAATTTTAAGGATACCTCTCACTAAACATTTGGCAACAATTTACAAAGCACAAATTTTTTTACCTAATATGTAGCAGTGTCACAGATAGGATAAATGATGAAAATAAGTATGTTCACAGTACAAATTGAAAACAACTCCCCTCAGTATTAAAGAATAACCCATGTTTATAGCCCAATTTAAAACAAAAAATTAGCCTAAATTCTTAGATGCTGAGAAGCCACATAATCTGTGTGCCAGAAACTCAAATAACACTCTCAAGTCCCTTACAAAACTCCTCTACTTTACAGTTTCCTAACTATGTTACCTCATTTACAAGTGAGTAAAAGGCCTGACAAAAAGGGAAGACTTTCATGTACTGTGACCAAAATACATTTAAAGTGGTTTGTGCAACAAGAATTTGTACTGCTTCCATTAACAAAGCAGCACCAGGGATTAGAAATAGTAAGCATTTTATTACATATTTTATCCAATTAAATATCAATCTTGTGTGAAATATATTATTTGTTCATCAAGGTAAAAGAAATTATGGAAATATTGTTATAGTCATAAATTTTCTTATATATATCTCCATTTTATTTAATAAACTCTTCTATCTGTACCAGAAACTGCTATAGCATTTTACATATATTAATTTACTTAATTGACACAGTAACCCTAAGAGTAAATATTAATATCTCCATTTCACAGAAGAAACTAAGGTAAGGACAAATTTGAGTAACTTCCTCATAGGAAGGGGCACAGATAGAATCTAAATTCAGTTCAAAGTCTGGATCTAAAATCTAAGCTCTTAACCATTACCCCATGATGGCTCTCAACAGTAAGAACTGCTAAATTCCCAAATTTAAGAATTTTTTATAATGTCCATACTGATTTACCTCTAACAAAAAAGGAGGCAGCATCAACACCATTACATAACTTCTTCCAACTTCAATTCTATTTATATATAAAAAAAACTTGTTCATGTAATTACACCTAACTAAAGAACACCACAGCAGTACTGAGCACTGATTTGTTCCTCAACATTTTAATAAGCAGTGCTAAATGCATAGGTGGCATTGGGTTGGATGCTACAGAGAATACAAATAGCATAAAACCAGGGCCAACACAGTATATATGAGGAAAGACAGGCCACTTGTAAAATTACTGCACAAGTCATTGATGACTTCTTCCGAATGGCCATATTTATATATGTTATTGATTGGGTCACTCAGAAGCCTCACTTTTAGAATTTTACCTTGAACTCACCTGTACCCCCACTGGCTGAAGTCTCTACATAGCTATCAGGAACCTTTGGAAAGGCATCCAACTCTTTCACCAAACTTAAGGTTTTTTTCCGATTCAGTCGCCTCATCTTCAGGAAAACCTTCCCTTTCCTTCATATAGTCATGCTAAGGAGAAAGTAAATTCATGAACAAAGGAATCCTCTAAAAAGGTTTTTATTTTATTTTATTTTATTTTACTTTAGAATAACTGCCAAATGTCCTTAAAACTTAAGTGTTCTCATCCTTCCTTGAGAAAAAGAACTTAATACAGGTTTACATCACCCTTTCTCTACTCCCACACTGATAAAAACTAAGGAAAGACAATTTGCACACACAAACACAGTAAACAAAAACAAAACACAGTGAAAAATAATCCAACCACACTTTAAACATTTAAACATGTAAGTTAAAATAAAAATAGTTTTCTCTTATTTAATATATTAAAATTATAATATGTTGCTAGTAATGAAGCAAAATAGGCTAACAAGAATATAAATATTCACCAGTCCCCTTTTGACTAAGCAAAGTCCTCTTTAGAAGTGTATCCCAAGGAAATAATCTTAGTTATGACAAAAATTTGATTATGAGGATATTTCTCAGAGTGCTTTTTAAAAGAAAAAATGAAATACAGAAACAAACTCATAGTATCCAATGTGCAAGTTATAAATGAAATAACAGGTCAATCTGTGTAACCACTGAAAACAATATAAAAGGAGGCATTTAATGACATAAGAAAATAACTCCTGATGTATTACGAAGATTCTCCAGCCTTATACATTCTAATTTTATGGAAGACAGGGAAAGATATGTAACCGAAGTCTATACACAAGATGCCAAAAGCAGATCATGGGAAGATTCTGCCATTTTTACACATTTTCAGACTTTCCAAATTTATCTGTTTTTATAATAAAAATATTTTTAAACTGTTTGCAAGCTGAATTGGTGTACACAACTGTAATCCCTGCTATTTAGGAGGTGGAGACAAGAGGATTGAGTTTGCAGCCAGCCCAAAGTTAGCAAGAAGCTATCAGAAACAAAAATAGAAAGGAGGACTGGAACATCATTCAAAGAGGTAAAGCATTTGCTTAGCATGCATGAGGCCCTGAGGGTCTCAGTTCAATTCCAAGTACTGCAAAAAAATAAATAAATAAAAATTAAAAAATAAACAAAACTGCAATTATTTTTTGATCAGCATGCCAAAAGTACACCTAAATATGTAAGGCCAAAGGATAACTAATTTTCTGACAATTTACATAATTTTAACATACAGTCATACCTCAGTATTCACGGAGATTGATTCCAGGATTCTCCCAACCCCCAGACAACAAAATCCTTGGATGCTCAAGTCCATTTTATAAAATGGCATAGTACATCCTCTCATATAATCTAAGCACATCCTCTCGACATAACTGAAAAAAATTGCTCCACTACTTAAAAAACCCAATAAATAAATGCTATGTAAATAGTTGCCACGCTTAAGGAATGACAAGAAAAATGTTTGTACGTGTTTAGTACAGATACAATTTTTTTTTCTGTTTTTCAATCCATAGCTGGTCATGGATGCAGAACAACAACATGCAAGGCCAGTGACAACATGCAAGGCCAACTATTATAACACTATGATAATAATATGGTGATACCATAAAGAATTTCCAGTAACAAAATCAGCACCTAGTAAAATCAATCAGCAGAATAAATCAGATGGTTACAGAGGTTACCATAAGAAAAAGAATATAAGCAGACAGATTTGGGGCCTGAAATCTAATGGATATATTCAATATTGAAGAGAAGGAAAAGGCCACAGAAAGATCACTTATGAAGAAAAAGGAAGGGCACAAAAACAAAAGCTGGCAGTAATCATGACACTGTCCAGAAGAGAGATCCTAACCAAGGTTCTAGAATCAGTCCACCAGGGAGTTACTGCTGCAAAGGAAAACCGAAAGCATTAATAGGTTGACTTCATTTGCCATTAAAAATAACTTTCCTTGCTTATTCCATGCTCACATAGTGGCTTTCAGGATATGATTTTGTTTCTGAAATGCTAAAAAACAAAAAAGATAATGTAGACAAAACACATGACAGTCTCTGATCTCTGTGTCAGTTGTAACATTGGTATTCTCATTTGCAAAGTGAGCTTCTGCATGATTTGGGGGCATAAATTATGTCCCCTGAATTTGTTCTCCTCTGAGAAAATCAAATTTATTTTCCAAAGATGCTCAATAGAACTGCATCAAGACTGACCCTCTTCATCATTTAATTTCTACTCAATCTATGTGATTAAAGATTAAATACGTTCATTCCACTGATCTTTAAAATAAAAACTTCCTGAAACTCAAGTAAAGAAATGAGGTGTTTCCATTCATCTACTAGAACTACTTCTTTAACTCACTCTCATATCTTAACTAAATTTGCTATCATCAAGATCACTAAATACTTCCTTAGTACTAAACCCAAGGGATACATCTTAGTCCTTGTTTAATGTCACTTCTAAGAAAACATACTTTTCATCATTTCTTCTTCTCCTCCCCCTCCTCTTCCTTTTTTTTGATAGTGTCTTGCCCAGGCTCACCTTGAACTCACTATGTAGCCCAGGCTGGCTTCCAATTTATGATCCTCCTCCTTCAACCTCCCAAGTACTGGGATTACAGGTATGCACAACCATGCCTGGCTCTTTTTCTTGCAACAGTCTCTTGCCTTGGCCTAAATGGTAAAGGTTGAGCACCCCAATCCAAAAATTGAGAATCAAAATGCTCTCAAATAAAAAATTTTTTGAGAGTCACCTTCAGTTCTTCAAATAATGCTGTTCTCTCTGCTAGAAAGATTTTCTATCCCCTCCCTCATCTACCATTTGACTAACCCTACTTCTTTTCAAGTCCACCATCTACTCATCTCTGCTTTAAGAGGAAAAAAAAACCTCCTTTAACCCTCAAAATGTATGTGCTCTTTTATCACACTACTTCTGATTGTTGGTTTCATAGTCAATTTTCTCCATTATTAGGAGAAATTTGATTATTAGGACAGGAACCATGTCTAACTTGATCTTTGTATCTCCACTAACTGGCACAGCAGGTATTTAATAAATATGAAGAGAAGGAAATTTCCCCAGAAACACCCAGAGTAGCACAAATTTCAAATCACAACAAAGCAAATATGTAAATAAATATGTAAAAACATAAGATTCATGAACAAGGATATTTCTGTTTTGTTTTCACTAATATTACCAATACCTAGACAGTGGATGTCAGAGTTGGTACACCATTGTTGAGCAAATAAAATTTGAATTCTACTTCCAAAACTTTGCTATATTTTCATAGTAAGCTTTACAAATGCTTTCTTTTTAATTAATATATAAATGTAAAAGTATGGCAAGCAGCTAGTGTTACAACTACCCAAGAACAAATACAACCTACCCAGCATTCCTCTCTTGAAAACCCAGATTGCATATCCCACTTAGCCACCACCCAGTCTCTAGCCTCCTCCATCCCCATTTTCCTTGATTATCATCCCAGAATGAAGCACTATGCCAGTGTGTACTCTTCCTGTCCCACTCGTATAAGCTCACTAACCTCCTTCCAAGAAATTCATTTCATTTCTAATACTTGCTACTACACAAAGCCACTGGTTCTGGCATGAACACTTTATCCAATAACTTCTAGTTTTACTAAAAGCAAACCCTTACCTGCTCTCATTATGAAACTGACTTTTTCCATGGTGGTTATTTCCATCCAATCCTTACTTCATTTCTGAGTAATGTGTTTTTATCATAGTTCTCAACCATTTTTTTCCCTTTGCAAGTCTACCTTACATATACTATATAGAAGAATAGCTAACTTTCATGCTAGGTGTAATTCAAAGCACAGTACATATTAATTCATTTAATCCTCTATGGTGCAGATGCTATTTTTCTTTCCACTTATAGACAGGAACAGTCAAATACTTTTTCCAGAGCCACACAATTGGTAGAACTTGGATTGGATACCAAACAGCTTGGCTCCAAAGTCTATGCTCCAAATCACAGTTCACACTGACTCTCACTTCAGTGTTTGTCATATTCCACTGACATCTGCATGTAGTTATAATTTCTTTAATGACTCCAGCACCTGGAGTCAACTTTTCACTTCTTCCTCATTCCATCATCATCCTTTGAACTCATGATCCTATGGCATTCATTCACATTAAAACCTTTCACCATGACTTCCATCTTCATTCTATGCAAAGCCACCCACAAGAAAGATCACATTTTGGCTTTTCTCAACTCTTAAAATTGCTCTCTTTCTGAAATCCAAAGCATCACAGCATCCTGTGTTGGGACTTTCTCCCCACTCTACAACTCTGGGGGCTATATTCTCCTTACACTTTTCTATCTCAATAAACTCTCCCACTTAACTCACACAAACATACACAAAAAATACAAATCATCATTTTCCTTTCTGAATGGAAACAACCATCGCCACACTCCATTTTCCCTGATATTCCCAAAGACAGTTAACCAATTCCACTGCCCCAAAACCATTTTACCATTCCATTTGCCTCTTCATCCAGTCCTTTTTATTGCTGTTTTTGGTTTTGTTTTGGTTTTTTTTGTTTTTGCTGTGTAGCCCAGGCTGGTCTTGAAGTCTTCTTCTGATCTCCTGCCTCAGCTTCCTGAGTGCTAGGATTAGGGGTGTGTACAACCATGCCTGGTTGGTGAGCCACTGTCAAACTGTACTTAGAAATACCTTAGATATGAAACAGAACTAAAACACTTCTTGCAATTGCTTTAAGTGGGGTGGGGAAGAGGCTGAGGGGGAAGAGACAATGGGGACAATGAAATAATGTATGATATAAGTCTAACTGGCATTGTCACTACAAATCCCCCCCATAATGAATATATCCCAATAAAAAATTAAAAAGAAATACCTTAGATCAATGCTCCCCAGAGGTCACTGGTATTCTACTAGAAAATTCTTTAAATGAAAAAAACCAATGACAGTATAGGAAAGTTTTTTAAATGTAAACTTAATTCAATTTAAAAATCTGTCCTTTATTTTAAGATTTCCTTCCTAGTTGTATGTCAAAATACCTTTTCCTTTCCAAAACTATAAAAGCAGGTAACAGGTTTTTGGTTTGTTTTGTTCTTGGATATCTTTACTTAGAAAGACTAAAACTTGTAATTCTATGTCAATCTTCAAACTCAGTCCTTTCCCCTGCTTTTTTCTCCTATATACTTGGGCAATCTCCAAAATCACATCTTTTTCTTTTTTTTCCCCCATCTTTCCTAAACTGTCCAGCATATTAAAAAAAAAAAAAAAGCACACCAGAAAGTCATTGATAACAAGTAAGATAATACTTTGAAAAACTGCATAAGAAATAAACCTCCTTATATTCTGGAATAGAGAGACATTCAACACTAAATGTAAGTAATATCATGTAGCATTATATTTCATCATTGTATCCATTTAAATATATTGAGGCTACCAGAGGTTTTGCCAATACACAGAATTCGGAAATTTTTTACAGTCCACTCAATTAATCACTTCTCCAAACACAAAAGGAGACAATTTATCTTCTATTATGCAAGTTTATTGTGCCAACTTCTACTTCTAATATATATTTGGCAATGACAAATATTTAGTTGGTCATTAAATAATAATACTTATGGCCATGTTCTGAGTTGAACCGTGCCCCTAAAAAGATACACTAAAATCCTAACAACAGTACATGTGAATGAGACATATTTGGAAATATGTGGGTCTTTGCAAATTAATTCATGAAGATAAAATCCTACTGGATTAGAGTGACCCAAAATTCAAAGACTGATGTCCTTATAAGAAGACCAGGGAGAATGCCACAGAACACAAAGGTTAGGGTGACATGTCTATAAGGATTGGCCAGAAGCCAGGAAGAAACAAGGAGTTTTTCCTAGATTCTTCACAGGGAGAGCATGACTCTCTCTACATCTTGATTTTTGACTTCTAGCAGCCCTCAGAACTGTGAGAGAATAAATTTCCATTGCTTTAAATTTATTAAGGCTGTCCCAGGAAACTAAAATAGACTGTTAAATAAGAAAGGAGATGAATACTATTCAGGCCATCACTACAACCTATCTATAAATTTAAATTACTTGACTATTTATCAAATTAGAATACAGTAAGCAATTTACAAGATAGCTTAGTCTCACTGTACAAACACTCATTATTTAAAAAAAAAAAAATGTACTTAACCTTTCACTTTAAGATTTAGATCTTTTGCCGGTGCTGGTGGCTCACACCTGTAATCCTAGCTACTCAGGAGGCAGAGATCAGGAGGATTACAGTTTGAAGCTGGCCCAGGCAAACAGTTCGAGACCCTATCTCAAAAAACTCTTCACAAAAAGAGGGTTGGTAGAGTGGCTCAAGGTGAAGGCCCTGAGTTCAAGCCCCAGTACTGTTAAAAAAAAAAAAAAAATTTAGATCTTTTTAAAGCTGTCTGACCCCAAATAATTCAAATAACTCTAGTAACTTTCTCTGTAATAAAAAAAGGTTTACTTGGAAGACAAGTTGGTTTAAGTATGTTTTAAGTATGTTCAAGGCACTTACTGAATGTGTGACAAATTTGGAAAGACCCTCAACTTCTCAGAATTCCCTCTAGAATTTTATTTTAAAAGGGTAGAGGGGTTTAACATATTGGCTTACTCCAGAGTTATTAATATAAACATGAGGCATTTAACATAGTAAGCCTGTTTTATTTGTGGATTACCTGAGGTTTTAACTAAGTGTTATTAAAAAATAACAATAAATTTTTAAAAGTCAAAAAGAAATTTCAGAAAAAACCCATTTTTCCCATGTGTATACCACACAGCACAGTAGGTGCAGAGCAGCAGTCAGTCCCTGATTATTATTGTCAGTTGTATTTAAATCTGCTGAGTGTTCTCTACCATTGATTTTGTGAAAATACGTATGCCTCCCAAAAAGCAAATGGCACCCAAAAATCAAGGTGAAAGTGAATGTGCTTATGCAATAAAGTAAAAATCTGGGTTCACTGAACATTGGCATGTCTTTAGTGGAAGTTCAGCAGTATTATGGGAAAAATGAACCAAGCTTACGAAGTACAGCACTGAACTCTGCATACTGAGCATGCACAGGTTTTCCTCAACAGTGGGTTCCTTGGGCTGCTGTAAATGCTTTCTAATTCTCAGAAGAAAGGGAAAGTTTCATAAGATATTTGAGATTTAGATATTAAAATCTTTGAGGAAAGTGGGAGAGTATCTGAGGTTAGTTGATGATCTTAGAGTGAGGATGGAGGATGGCATAAACTTATAGAATCAAAGTTAAGAGAAGAGAAAGAGACTGTAGAGTCTTAGAAACAGGACAATCTGGAAGTGCCTACTAGCAATATGAAGTAAGGACAATTATAATCTTCATCAAAGTACAACCTGACTATAGTAGCTACTCAACAAAAGAAAGAAAGATAACTGAGCACCTTATAATCCTAACTACTCGCGAGGCAGAGATCAGGGGGATCTCAATTCAAAGACAGCCATTCACCAAATAGTTTGCAAAACTCTATCTCAAAAATACGTAACACAGGAAAAGGATTGGCAGTGGTTCAAGTGGTAAAGTACCTGTTTTGTAAGCATGAGGGCCTGAATTCAAACAGCAGCTGCCAAAAAAAGTGCACAAAGTTAAAATTAGGAAGTATAAGAAACAAAAACATGAGGAGAAAAGGTCACTGACACAGGAAACATTTACAATATAATGACTGTTCTTAAAAGCAAAAGCATGGGTTAACAAGGCACCTAGAGGAATAGAAGAAGTCACCTAGATTAAATAAGACCACATGGAGAAGAAAGGACGAACTTGTGTCTTAGTAACTAAGAAGCAGCAACAGGAAGAGTTGAACAACACATTAACCACACATAATGAAGTATGTTTAATCAATTTGGGGGGGTTGTCAAAAAGTAGTTTCATCATCTCTATTTTGACTACCAAGGCTAATAAAAATAAAATTGAAAATGAAAATAAAAATAAAAAACAATGAGAGCTAACACTGAGTGCTGACTGTATGGCAAGCACTGTTCTAAGTGCTCTGCAAGTTTTAAAACATTTAGTCCTACAAGCTCCCTATGAGTTAGGTATTACTACATTATTCTTCTCATTTTACAGATAAGGGAACTAAGGCACAGAGAGCTTACAGTTTGCTAAGACGTTAAGAGACAGAATTAAAATATTGGAGAACTATTAAATAGAATTTGTAGCAGGCCTAGACTGCCTAAAAGTAACTTCTATTAAAAGTGAATTTCATCCTTTCTACCATTTACATCACCAACCCGAGAGAAAAGAAATGTGTGCGTTTTTTCTAATTCTTTGTTGTTTATTCTTTGTTTATTTGTTCCAGACTAGGCCTGATTTCCTTTAAGAGATCTTTTAAACGTGATATATTTTCGCATTTATAAGACTCAGTCATGTACCAGTTTACTATCAAAAAGAAATCCTTTTCCCAACTCCCTCTACAAAACATGCAATTTCTGTTTCTCATGTTTTTCCTCTACCAGAACTGGAACAATTACATTAACTTCAAGACATCAATAAACAAATGAGGCAAATAACCACAAGTCCTTCAGTGAACAAACCAGATTCATTTCTTCAGGTCTATTAGCAGAATTCAATGTATTGGGCTTAGTAATTAACTGAAACACTGAACTACAACTTCAAACAAATGAATAAACCCTGTTTTTAACTGTATCTTTAATTGCTTCTGAAAGCCAGTCTTGCAACATTTTAACAGATGTTACTTTGCCTTTGGTCTCGAGGGCACCAAAGCCTAAACACATAAAAGTTAATTGAATGTCTTGTCTCAGACGATGGTCTAGCAACCTCATTTACTACCGAGAGCCAACGCGATGTGGTCCCAGGAGCTAACAATTGCCCTCCGAAGGTTTGTGGAGTCAACAAAGCAGTAACACGGCTTTGCATCTTCGCTCTGCTCTGCCCCTTCCCCGTTTCTCCCAAGCGGCCAAGACCTCGTTCCTCCTCGAAAACTGAGAGGAGGCACCGTGCTGCGGAGGATGTGGTGTCTGAATGGAAGGAGGGAACCAGACACCGGGAGGGGGACCGGACACGACCCGGGGGACCCCACTTCGCCTGCAGGCGGGAGAAGCCACCGGGGCACGGGGCACCGGACACCACTGGAAAAGCAGGGTCAAGAGCCATGGACTACTTCGAGCTGCAAGTGGGCTCAGGGACACCGGGATGAGAGACCCGAGAGCTGCTAGCCTCAGCGCTGCCCAGGGTCCTGCTAGTAACGCCCCCGGGGAAGGTGGAGCGGGTCCTCGATCTGGCCTGCTCTCCAGATGCAATAAAGGCAGGAATCCAAGCCTGTGTCAGGGTCGTGGTCCCCTTAACCGCATTCACGACCCGGGTAGCCCTGGAACAACCAAGGAAGAGTACCTAGCGGGTTTCCAATATTTTACCTTGTGTTACGGTCCCAGCCGACCGCCATGTTTCACAGAAGCCCGGATCGCCGGGCTCCCGTGTACCCTGAACTATCGCGAGAACAAAAGCGACTATCACCACCGAGAACGTCAGAAGGTAGAGCCCGTGGAGTTCTCGCGATACTTCCTGTGCACGCGAAGCATTTAGTGACTCTAAAGGCGCTGGCAGGAAAAAAGGGGCCTCCGCTGAAGTGAAATTGAAACTTGCCTTAGGTGTCACTGCGCGGCCAGCCAGAAATCTGAAGGGCAAAAGTTAGCTTCAACTGACATTTAGTCACCAACCCTCGGGCTGATTCACTGCAGGTGAGCCTTTGGGCGCAGAAGGTAGCGCTGAACCTCAACCTGAACCTGAACGCCTCGCACGCCGTCCTGCGTGGTGCTGCGCCCTGTGTCTTGGCGCCTTGATTTCCCCTTTTTAAGAACACGTAGGTTTCCTTTTCCAGACATACTCCTCACCGCCTTTCGCCAGCATCTACTCCTTCACATCTGTGTTAAGAAAGAACATTGATACTTCGCCTTTTCCCAGCACTCAGTAGTACAGGAGGTAATAAAGGGAACTTGGAAGAGAAAGATTCACTAGGAACTGCTGGAGAGTGAACCCATTCCAGCTTCCACCCGTCTTACCAGATTTTACAATCGCTGATTATTTAACTTCTCTGATTTATTGATTAAAAAAAAAAGCCTAACAAAGGCATAGTGATGACTAATGTTTACACGGAAAGAATAGTTTGGAATGCTTTATCTACCTTCTCTTTTAATCGTAACACTAGTAAGGTAATGCCATTGTTACCTGCTTAATAGATATGGAGTTTGAGTTAAGAGGTAGGTAAGGGGTTGTTTGAGTCAGCTGTCAGCCTTTGCGTGATTTGCCCAAAGATGAAGAAACCACAATACTAATAGTTTTCAAAACTGCACTCCACTCCAAAACTGCATTGTTTCTCTTAGTGAATTAACCTTCACTGTGTAAATATGAAATCTCGGTAAAGTGAAATTACCCCCAAAATAAAAGCAGGTAAATATTTCCACTGATGCAATTTTATTTCCAGACTTGAAAATTAGTCCGATCAAATCAATTTAAAGTAGGCCAGCCTGGTGACTCGTGCCTATAATCCTGGCAATTTGGGAGGCTGAAATAGGGAGGATTGCAATTTTAGGCCAGTCCAGGCAAATAGTTTCCAAGATTTTACCTCCAAAAAAATAACTAGAGCAAAATGGGGACTGAGG